TCCGAGTAGATGACGTTGCAGTCACGGCAGATATTAAGAGAATGTTTCACCAAGTCTTCGTAGCACGAGAAGATCGTGGAGCGTTGTGTTATTTATGGTGGCCGAATGGTGACCTGTCAAAGGGACCGAAGACTTACCAAATGCTCGTGCACATTTTTGGAGCAAAGTCCTCGCCGAGCGTAGCAGGATACGCCCTGAGAAAGACGGCTAAGGATAATGAGAAAGACTTTTCCCAAGAGGCAGTTGACGCCGTGCTTAAGGATTTCTACGTAGATGACTTGCTTAAATCCTTTGCTGATTCAGAACGCGCAGTACAAGTCAGTAAGCAGCTACAGGAGTTACTTGCGAGAGGAGGCTTTGAATTGACCAAATGGATTTCCAATTCTCGCAGCGTGTTGTCAGCGTTCCCGGTGGAGGAAAGAGCACCCACCATTAAGAGTTTAGATTTGAAATCAGAAAGTTTCCCTATAGATAGAGCACTAGGAATCCACTGGAATGTTGAACATGACACCATTGACTTTGTTGCGAATGACAAGGAGCGTCCAGAGAATCGGAAAGGTGTCTTATCATCTATTGCAACTGTGTATGACCCGCTCGGATTCGCCAGCCCCCTACTCTTACCTGGAAGAGAAATGAATCAGGAATTGTGCAAACTAAAGTTGGATTGGAATGAGAAGCTCCCAAGAGAATTGTGTGAACGTTGGAAGAGTTGGAGAGAAGGGCTTCTGAGCTTGCAAGGATTCAGTATTCCTCGATGTTTTAAGCCAAAGGACTTCGGTGAAGTGAAACATGTAGAGCTTCATCATTTCGCTGACGCATCCCAAGAGCATGGTTATGGGACAGCCTCTTATTTATGTCTTGTTAACAGTCGAGGGCAAATTCATTGCTGTTTCGTAATGGGGAAGTCTCGCGTGAAACCCTTGAAAAGTGCTGTAACAGTACCAAAGCTGGAGTTGACAGCGGCTACTCTAGCAACGAAAGTCAACAAGGTCATAACGAGAGAGTTAGAAGGAAGACTGAAGATTAACAGTGTGACTTACTGGACTGACTCTATGATAGTTCTCAAGTACATTGCCAATGAAGTACGAAGATTTGTAACCTTCGTCGCAAACCGGGTAGCTGTCATACGTCAAGAATCAGATCCAGGGCAGTGGCGGCATGTACGATCAGAGCTCAATCCTGCGGATTATGCTTCCCGAGGGATCAAGGCCTCGGAGACTGGAAAACTGGAAAGGTGGCGCCGTGGTCCAGAATTCTTGTGGAGAGAAGTTGAAGATTGGCCCCCGCAGCCTCCAGAGGAATTGGGAGACCTCCTAGATACAGACGAAGGAGTGAAAAGGGGGAGAGTCACTGTTGGAGCATCCACAGTTCATGCAGATTTCTGGAGCATTTTGTTCCAACGATATTCGTCGTGGGATCGACTGAGAAGAATAGTTGGGTGGTTATGTAGAGCCTTCAACAGACCGATGCAGTCCCAGTGCCAGAACGACAAAGATAGAAGTGTGAAGTATAGTCCTAAAACCTTATCGATCCATGATGTGGACAAAGCAGAGAAGAAAATCGTGAAGTTCGTCCAGGAGCAGTCATTTGCTGATGAGAAAAGTGAAACAGTCATCAAAGGCAGACTAGCCAGACTTAAGCCATTCGAAGATGAAGGAATCATACGTGTCGGCGGAAGATTGAATCACTCGAGTTTGCCATATGATGCCAAGCACCCGATGATACTGCCAGCAAAGCACCCTGTGTCTGAGTTGATAATTCGCCACTATCATCACTTGAATGGACACGTAGGAACCTATCAAGTTCTGGCCGAAATTAGGCAGCGCTATTGGATCGTGAATGCAGTTTCCACGATAAAGCAAGTTCTTGGCAAGTGCCATGTGTGCAAACGTCAGAACGCTAAGTTAGGAGAACAAGTGACAGCACCACTTCCAGTTGTTAGACTGTCTTCGGATAGTCACAGGCTCGTATATCCATTTGCTGCAGTTGGGTTGGATTACTTCGGGCCCCTCTACGTGAAGATAGGACCTAACACAAGATCAAGGAGAGACCCTTCTCTGAACAAACGTTACGGCTGCATCTTCACTTGCCTAAGATATCGAGCAGTTCACATAGAGTTAGTTAACAACCTCTCCACTGACAGTTTTATCAATGCCGTTTTGCGCTTCGTTGGTAGAAGAGGCCCCCCAGGTATTATCTATAGTGACAACGGAACTAATTTTAGAGGAGCTGAATTGGACGTCGTCAACGCTTTAAAAGTGTGGGATCAGGAGAAGATTCAGTTGAAGTTGACCAGGAGAGGAATTGAGTGGAAATTTAACCCACCTGCAGCCAGTCACCAAGGCGGCGTATGGGAGAGACTTATATGGTCTATCAGAAGGATCCTTCATTCTATGGTGGGAGAACACCTCGTAGACGAAGAAACCCTGAGAGCATTCCTCATTGAAGTAGAGAAGATTTTGAATGACAGGCCCATCACGCCGGTCTCTGATGATCCAAAGGATTTGGAAGCACTGATGCCGAACCATATCCTTCTGTTGCGCCGAAACCCGTCTTCATCCCCAGATTTATTCGATGAGTCAGATCGATTCAAAGCCAGATGGAAGCACGTTCACCTTCTCGCAAATGAATTTTGGCAGAGGTGGACAAGGGAATATCTGCCGACGCTCCAAGAGCGCCAGAAGTGGTTACAACCTAAGCCAAACTTTAAAGTGGGAGATTTAGTGTTGCTTGCAGACAAGAATTTGTCCCGGGGTCAGTGGCCGAAGGGTTTGGTCGAGCAAAACTATCCTGATAGCGAAGGCATGGTATGCCAAGTTGTCGTCAGAACAGCGGACGGAGTATACCGCAGAGATGTCCGGACGCTCTGTCTTTTGGAAGAGCAGTTACTAGGTGGCTTGGAACAGCGGCCAAAACCTCTTTGAAGCTACCAGTTCATGTGTGTAGGAAGGGCACCGAGAAGTGTCTGAACTGTTCCGAAAGGTTAAGATAACTGAGGGAACTTTTGAGGAACTGTACTGATCGGATAGTTTCGACTAGTTTTTTTGTACGCTCAGTACTAGTTTGTGCTAAAGTAGAAAGACTCCCCAGTCGTCTTTCGGGGGGGAGCGTGTAAGAGACAGAAAATAAACGTTATATGGTGTGGTCTTCGGTGACCGCACGCAAAATATCGCGGGCGCTCTTTCCCACGAAAAGCACATGTTTTGTTATGGAGTTATACTGTCGTTTCGTTAGGACAAGTTTTCCTTTCTATTTAGAAGGCACAATAACTTGTAAGTATGCAGTATTTCGGTTATTCACTCAATATCATCTTTGTAATAGTCGCGTTGTTGTTATTTCAGCGAATCTTTCTCTTTCAAGTGCAATTTGTGAATGGAATGAATACAAGTTATGTGCAGATTAGAAACGAACTAGCAAGTGAACAACTGATTAAAGTACAGTTTCAAGTAGCTATGAGTGGACGCTACACGTACAGTTAATTGCGATCGGTTACTTCTATTAGCGTGTTATGCATTGAAACGCAACCACCTGTTTTCAAGGAGACGAGTCATTGCAACGGAGTGAGCGCACATACACGTTCGTTAATAGATCACGGGCAGTCCTTCATTTTTCTCAGGTCGAGCAAGCGGGTGGAAATCAGCTCCCGCGAGAACACGCGTGTTCTCACGGAGCTGATTTCCACGCGCGTGGAGTGTGCTCGCCCGCTGAATCTGAGAAAAAATGAGGGAGTGCTCGCAGTTTACTCTCACAAAAAGAGCAATAACCGTGACAACTCCTTAACAAAGTTCAAGTTGTATAAGCTGAATAAGCATATTATTACTGGCAGCCGGACTTATTCAATTTGTGTACACGCACACTTTAAAATAACTATAACTTAGTGAGAAATCATTCTCGTGTTTAGATCAGTAGAAAGTTCTTACTTTGAAGAAAATTATTATATCTGAAGAAATCATTGATCCATCGCAAAGCAAACCTAACCTTGAACTCAGTTTCGGGTGGTTATATGTTGCATGACGAAAGAAATGAAATGCGATACTCCAGCGCACGGGTAAAGAGGCCACGGGGAGAAAACACATGTTAATCATAGTATTAATGGTCAATGGTCAATATTTGCGCAAGTAAGACTATTTTTGTAAAAGAAATATACGGTACATGTATACCTAAAAATGGTCAAAATCCTGAAATAAAAATCCTGGCCATTAAAATTTAATTGTGTCTGTGACTCACTGCTAGAATGGAAAGTATACAATCCCGGGTATACAATATGCCGAGTTTATATCAACAACGAAACCCATGATATTAGACTCTATTAAAAAAAGATTAGACACTAAAGCCTATGGTATACACTTTCACTGATGATTATTAACGAAGCACAAAGTGCAGGTCCTTACTTTTTTTTCCCAGTTAGCCGAGAAAGTGGAACACGCAAGCGGTCGTGACAGGTATTACGCGTCTTTCGTGAGAGACAGCTGTCACCCACGCTCGCATGTTCAGTATTTGTACACCGCTCAGCTTGAGAAATCAGGCGTTGGAATTATCAGATTATTAGCCTCTCTCCTCCGCAAAGGCTCTTATCAGTAAAGAAAAACCGAAAAACCAATAAGCTAATAAGTAAATCGGGATGCTGAGAAAGATGTGGACGATAAGAAGAGTGAACGACCGCGCCTACAGTAAACTTTACCCACGAGCTTCCCTTTTCTCTCTCCCCAAACTCTGAGTTTTCTGATCGATGAATGAAAACGAAACGAAAGAGGCCTTTACAGAAGAAAGAGATTGAGGTGAAATAAAGATGCGTTAATGCCTAGAATAGTCTGGACACTGGCTAATCATTTCAACTTTTGGTTCGCGCGGTGAACGCGACGAGGGAGGGCGAGACAGTATCTGGACTGATTTTCATGTCGCGTCCGGTCAGGCGATGTGCGTGTACGCTCTAAATTTGCCTAATCAGATCCAGAGCGTCCTCCACACGAACAGTCTTTGACAAAATCACTGAGGGCATCCACATACGAGGATTTCTTTCTCCGGTCAGTGATAAAGGCCTCCAGATTAAACTTCTCGCAAAGTATTTGCAGCAAACCCAGCTTGAACCTTGTCAAGGAGTTGTCACGAACCAATGCACAGATATTGTATTGATCGAATACAATGGGATGCTCGAGGTTGATGTCGGCGAGAATCTCTTCTCTCGCTATGTGAAAATTAACCTCCTCCTCTGCAGCGCAAATATCCTCGTCAGTTGCGACCAATTGTTGACGAACTTTTGCCGCTAGCCTGCCAAAAAAGGACGTCATCTATTGCTCCGTCAGAAATTCCATTGGCTTGAAGAGACGTTTGCCGTCGGAGTTCAAGGCGCGTCTCATTTCCTTGGATACGTTGTCGGGGTGGAGTTTTCGCCCTGTTTCCTGGCCGAGTTTAAACTTCGCCTCCAGGTAGCTTTTTTGCTTTTCGTTAAAACAGTAGGGCTTTTTAGGTTCCTTGGAGGCCCAGCCCTCTTGTGCGGTACTTGAGATAGTGGCAAGTGTTGATGTCGACAACAGCAAGGTTGGCATGCTTGCCACGCCTTCGCTGAGGAGAGAGGCGTACTCCATTTTAGCCAGGTCTAACAAGGAAAATCTCTCGAGGGATGTAGTGCATTTTTCAAACGAGAGATGTCGTTCAGGGCTTGAAATCCGTTGAAAGACCCTGGTGCATCCATCCTGTGGACATGGAAAAGCCCCTCTTTCCGCAGCAGCCTCTTCAGATTCCTTCTCCTTCTCAGCTGGCTTTTCTCTAACTTTTAACGGCACTAACTTCAGCAAACATAAAATTACTTACAGGTTCCAACAGGATAAAGCTCCCCCACTATATCTACAATAAAAGACGATTCTTTACTGTTCATACCGCGATCTCCCTTCACCGTTGAAGATTTATGTCCTGCCACTTCACCTGGAACAGAGTATCTCACCTTTCTGTTGGATTAGTTGTTTATTACATCAGACTTCCGGTGTTCTAGTTAGCAAGGCCCCGTTGCATGTTGGGGGCCATGTACTTGGATGTTCGGCCATCTTGTATGTACTACATCTGTGTGCGGAATAAATCTTTACTTTGAAGCCTAAATATTACACTTTCCACTTCTCCAACGAAAGCCGTACTTTTCTCGTTAGTGAGGACATATAGTCGATGACAAATGGGAACTTTCAACTGTAAATATTCCTAAAATTTCAGTCACATAAACCAATCAGAATTTATTTTAGTACAAAATAAAACTACAAGAAAGTGTTCAATCATTCAAACGAGAAATTGTAGCTGCTCTTGCTAACAACAATGCCATTTCGTCACAAATTGCTTCATCCGATCCGATTTTCAGTGACTTAAAGTGTGAGTAAACCTCCTTATTACATTCGTTAAGCGGAACACACTGCAAATCTTCTGGATTTTTTGAGCTTGATCCGCAACGACGAAAAGCTGCAAGATGCCATGACGAATTGTACTTGAAACAAATTTTGGTTCTTTTTTTCGAAGAAGATATTGAGAAATAACTGAGACAAGTGTCAATATTTCGAAACTGCGATGGTTTGTTGACTTTTGGGACGTGTTGTTTACTTTCGAAAGTCTCACGACGCGCAGTGTACATGACCATTCATGATGAGCAAGGAAACTATCCTAATTTTGTTACAATCCATGGAGTATAACATGAAACATTTTATTTTACATGTAAAGCAAATTATCTACAAGCTGTCACTCTATGCACAAATGTTGGCATACCTTTTTTCCTAGCCTTCAGTTTCCCGCGCTGGTGCATCAAATTTCATTTGTCACGCAATAAGAATGCTACCTGTATTTCCGTTGTGGAAACTAATTTAAGATACCTTTAGCTAGGGAATCTGAGGTCCGCAGATATAATCTACTTCAAAAATTTGGACTACACATACGTAAGTGCATTTCTCTATATGTTGCATGAGAATAATTTCTCAGCAGGGTTAAAAAGTGGTGTACTACGGTAATCCATGAATCAGAGTGTCTGAAAAGGAATATGTTGCATTATTTCTCGGATTTCTTCGACAATCTTTGTAAACAGAATTCCAACCAAGAGTCGATTTGAAAATTTATTTAAACAGGTGGAATACAAAAACATGCTATTTTAATTATGGTAATTACAGTGACAGTGGTGGAAATCTATATACACGAGGTTCATGCACAAGCGAGTATTTTCTTGCGACAACTACATGTTTCGAATATTTAATGTGTGCGAACATTTATAGTTACATGTAATTTACTCTAAAGTTATGCCAGTGGGATAGATTGTAAATTAAGGAAAAGTGCAGGTGACAAGCCAGTTTCAGCTAAAAACACGTCGACAGAGCTGGTGTCTTTGTAAACAACGATTTGTTTATTTAGCTCTCGAGAAAAATAAACTCAAACGGTGGTTTGTTCACTAACAATAAAGGTAGAGTAATTTTTAGGTTAAATTTATATATTGAAATGAATCAAAACAGAATTAGAGGCCAAACACGTCGAGGTTTGTCCCAGTAGCGTGTGATTTGCAATAAGAGTACAGCAAAGAAAATGGCCGAACTCCGTGAAAATGCACACTACATATTTTGGTCTGGCGCGCTCGCTTTTCACGGGCTAAAAAAATTATCTTTACATGATAAATACGAAGAATTCCTCGTTGAAAGGAGCTTTTTTATTTTAAGTACATTCGTATACCCCCGATGTTATGGTCGTCTGAAATATAGCAAAATTCAGCGTACAAACGGAATAGAAAATATTTATATACGCGGGTGGTTACAAACGAAAGAAACTTCAGTTGGAGATGAAATATAGTTGGAAAGCTACTCCAAGGGATGGAAAACAACTTATGGAAAAATTAATCCAAGACAAATTTTCGTTGTCTTGTACGAGCGTTGTAAAAATGCACTGAAAGCCCGATAGAAATTATGCAAATTAGGTATGTTTTGGCCGATTTCGAACTTTCGTATTTTTTGCAAAAATAAAAACTCGCTGGAACTTTTGAATGTTATTTTTTAAAACAGTTAACCAAAAGGGTCTTTTGGAGCAAATAAAAAAAAAGTTGAATTTTTGCTTCTGTCGCCGGATTCTTGAAAATACTGACAACCTCTCTTAAAAGGTTGAAGGAAACAGATCATTAAAAAAAGTAAATGTTATACAAGAAAGTATTTGAATATGTGAGTAACATTTGATGTTTTCACATGTAACAGGATGATCAAGCTGAAGATTGCCTCAAAAAGGAGTGAACTCGACTGTAACAATTAGGTCACTACTTTTGAAACTTGAGCACTTAGTAAATACATCTTGGCTTGCAATTCTGATGATTACAGTTTGTTGAGGCAATTGAAAGGTCATTCCCCAAGCAGGAACCATCCACATGACCTGTGCAGTCATAAGCTATGAAAAATGCATTTGTGTCAGTGGAATTATTGTAAGTACAGTACCACCTAGTGACAAAAATTACTGATTTCCTGTAAGTATGAATGTTTGGGAGAAGTTATAGTGGTAACTGACTCTCTTTTGCTAAAATTCATAGGATTTAATGATTGTAATATATATCTCAGCTTTAAAACTTTCAACTTTGTATTAATTGTAACTGTTTACCATATCTGTTTCTTTCTACCTCAAGCCCTCAAAAGTTGAAGCAGGTTAGTCAATTACTTGACTTTCTTTGAATGAAATTGTAGGATTATATAATTTTGCTGGGTAAGTTGCCACATTGTAACATGGAATATTATTATTTGAATTGCATTAAATACTCTTGCTCATTTATTAATGCACAGTGTTTCTTACGAATACTCATACCCAAAGTAAACATTGATATAAGGTATTGGTCACAAGGTATGTGAGTTTTAAAGGGTGGGAAACTGGAAAAGCAAGATCCCCTTTGATTAAGACTGAAATTAAAGTGGGCTCTACCATTTTGATTCATGTTTTTACTTTGACCTGCTTGAAAGTTAAATTTATTGGCATCTGCATAATGCACGAAGCAAGAATATAAATGTCTTAGCTTAATAGGTTATAAAAATTAAAATAAGAAAGTTGTGCAGAACATGTCTTGCCTTTTATCCTACTCTGGATATTTACTCAAATAATATAGTCACTATCAGTCTCTCTCACTTTCACTTTCCACTGCTTGTTTCTTTTAATGAAGAAAGGAAAGCCTGCCCTCTTACCACAGGTAGTTCTTTTGTGCATCATCAGTACATCCCCAGTCTTATTTGAACACAAAGTTGATTGTTCTAGGTAGGATAACCTAATAAATTAGTTGTGAAAATTTCTGACTCAATTTTACCCGACAAACCTAAACTGAATAAATAAAAACTTGAAATTTATTTCTTCACACTGTCAATTGCGAGCTTCTTTTCATCATCCTTCGCAAAGTTGGCTGTCCACCAAAGTTTATAAGAATCATCAAGAAGCTATATACAGATGTACACACCAGACTTATATTTGATGGCGAACTGACCCAATCCCTTGAATACAATAGCGGGGTTAAGCAGGGATGCAAACTAGCTCCAACACTCTCTGGCATCTATGCAGCAGTCTTACTATGACTTGCCTTCAAGAAAATCAAACACACTTGCAGTTTACAGATCAGGTTACGTTACGATGGAGATCTTTTTGACCTACGCAGGCTTAAAGCAAAAACCAAAGCCCTAACAGAGTTCATCAGAGAAGCTCAGTATGCTGATGACATTGCTATTTTCAGTGACACGCCAGAGGGTCTGCAATCGCTTTTGACCTCCTATAATAACGTCGCAGAGAGGATAGGCCTGCGCATCAACACAGTCAAAACAGAGACTATGTGTATTGGTAACACAGCTGACTTCTTCGTAGACGGCACCAAGTTAGCTAACGTCACTCGCTTCAAGCACCTCGGCAGCTATGTCAGCAGCGACTGCTCTATGAAGGAGGAACTTGCATCTCGTATTCAAGCAATGTCATGTGCTTTTGGTCGACTGCGAAAGAGAGTTTTCGACTCGCATGATCTAACACCTTTAACTAAGGTCGCTGTGTACAACCAATGTCTAATGCCTCTTCTGATGTATGGAAGTGAAACTTGGACTCTATATCAACATGAAGTCATGCAGCTCCGTACAACACAACAGCGTCATCTATGTCTCATCTTAAACATCAAATGGGACGATTACATCAGCAATGAAGAGGTGTTGCGACGCGCTGACGTTGAAGACATGGGGGTGAGTTTAGTAAGGACCCATCTGTGTTGGTTAGGACATGTTTGTTGAATGAACAATGATAGGCCGGTAAAGCTGCTCTTGTACTGTGGGTTGGCTCATGGTTCTCGCCCTATAGGCCGACCCAAGCTTTGGTTCAAGGACACCTGCAAAAGTGCTTTGAAGTGCGGTCATATCTTAGATCAATAGCTTTCAACCGTGAACAACAGAGCCGAATGGAAGAGACTCACAAGGGTAGTCTG